ACTCCACCACTGTGTCAGTGGATGCACACAGCCAAGTCCGGCTGGTTAAAAGAGCTTAAAAAAAAGTCCAGATGGATGACTGCTAGCGACCCACCTGAAGATTACTCAGCCGCTGCGTCGGCGGACACGCGCATCCGCCGACGGACACGCGCATCCGCCGACGGACACGCGCATCCGCCGACGGACACGCGCATCCGCCGACGGTTAATAACTATAATATTATAATAACTATAATAATCCGCTGAATCTTGTTATTGAACAAGAAATCTTATATCTTCCTTTCCTTGAAATACGTTTTTAAATCATGTCAAACTGATTTGCTTACAAAAGCAGTAAAAGCTTAATAATTATAAAAAAAAGTTGTCTTTTTTTTTCAGGTTCGGGCCTATAATCACAGTTAATTGGTCGGTGCCGGGTTAGGCTCAGAAAAAAGTATACGGGTATAAGCCGGCTTTTTTAGGCCCAAATACAACTCTAGTTCTTCATAACATCACATATTCCCAAATTCATAAACTAGTGTCATTCTACAAAGCTGTCTGACCAACATATTTACCTAAACCATTTTTCCCAGTTAAGTAAACATACTGTACTCCTAACTTTGAATTCTTTGTAAGGACTCTTGTTCTGTCTGGACTGACCTTCAGTGAATGTATGCTGAACATCAAAACCTGACCCATTCATTTAATGAGCTGTGTTTAAGCCTCAATGTGTCCACTTAGTTTGAGAGAATCAGATTACACAACTGATGTGATTCAAACTGGCAAAACAATAAATTGAATTCCCATATTAGAGCCTGAGGGCGCTCAGAACCATAAAAACTGGCTGCACATGTGTACTGATTCTGTTAAGTAAAGTGCTGATCATGCAAAAAACAAACTATATACTGATATATATAACAGTATAATTAATTGAGGTCTTCAACCATTTAAAAAAGAAACAGTATATGTTTAAAATCATAAAAAAAATGCTATCAATATAGACTTTGTAAAACTGGTGGTAGAAATACAGACATAGTTCTTAGTCTGTCTAAAAGTACAAAGGCAGGACAGAAGTCCACATACAAAGAACTGCTGTCACATTGCTCATCAAGCAATTTAGAAAAATTCTCAAGAGTAAATTAAATGTGTTCTGCTTGAAAAGCCAGCATATGCCAAAAGTTGAAAAAAATGTAATCCTGAAAATATTGGTTGTGTGAAGTGTTAAAATATATCCATAGGAATGTTTTTTTTATTACCTGAAACCTTTTCCCAGGCCCAGTTGACAGAGGAGGACCTAAACGCTTTCCTCTTGAGGCATGAGTCTCCATGTTCTCAGTACTGTGAAATAAAGGACATTTCAGAAGCTAAGTGTGTGATTAATTTGAACGTGGATACTTTAAAGTAAATTAAATATTCTGAAAACTGTGTCCATCATGAGGGGTACATTACTTGTGCTAACAAAATCTTTTTTCAATCCAAATAATTGTAAAATATTTCAGGACAACAAAGTCCTTCAGATCATACATTGTGTAGGTATGTTTATTTTATATTTATATATTCTTATTGCCCATTGTGGCAAACAATGTTTTTCCCATATCTTTTTGTGTACACATTCAGCCGTCCATTATCAAAATATTTTTATAAACTACTGGATACATTTTTAAGAAACTTCCGGTAAATAACCATCGGATATACTTAATTCATTTCAGTTCAGTTAATTTATAAAGCACCAAGTCTCAACACAAGTTATTTCAGGGCACTGAAAAAATACATTCATATACATAAAAATTTGGTTATTAGCATTATTTATAATGTGATACTATAATGTTATAATGTATAATATATTATAATGTTATGTCTTTATAATGTAGCTGTTTTTGTTTAGTTTTCATTTCATTTATTTCTATTTACTTTTTCATTTCAAGTTTTTTATTTGATTTCCTACTGTTGTTTGCACCTCATCTGTGTTCTTCGTTTAAAACAGGTCTCTCTTGTAAATGAGTCCTCGAGCCTCAATGAGACTAAACTATATAAATACAGGTTGAATGAATATTTGGTATGGTAGCCAGCAGATTGCATTCAGTTAAATAACTGAATTTTGATGCCAACTCTACAAATATGGCTGCCACGGCAATTTGACCAGAAAATATCCAACAAAAACGGCTATATCTCAGTCAATGACGCTGAACTAAATAAAATGCATTGTGGTAGTAAATGACGGCGTGATCTCGTCTTTTAAAGTTTGACCAAAACGACTACAACACCTTCATTTCTCAACATAAGATGATCTTTGCTTAAATGTTTAGCATTAATGGCGGCGGCCGATATGCATTAATTCAAGGATGGCGAGGTTTTTAACGAAACAGGAATTAGCTGGTGTTAGCTTAGCGTTTTCAGGAGGGTGCAGGCCTAGCCAGCCAGACGACGCTTAAAATATCTTCACAATATGCCAAAAGATACAACTTCAGCTAGTTAAAAGATATTCAGCGCATGCATTTCCACTACTTAGGCAACAAAATACAGTATTTCCTTACATACCTGAATGAAAATGCCTAGGTTTTCGTGCATCGAAGGTCGTCTCACGTTGATTTTCTATTCTGAAACAAAACCAGGAGAAAATAGGAGCACTAGGATTTTGCCTTTAATTTTTTAATCTACAGTAATGTTATTTCCATAAATTGTAGTAAAGTCAAATCACGTTATCTGATGAGTGTGACAATGATTTCAGTTTTCCCATGTTTTTTAAATCTTAAGAAAATCTTTAATTTTCATAAGGCATTTGTGTAGACAGCTACGAAGTGCGTTTAATTATGACACCAAGACGTACCGTTACGCTTTCTGGGAGCGAAAATTGCACATCTTATGAAACGCTTAAAAAAAAATATTATTTTAATATTGCTCGTTTTTATTACAATGATAGCAATAAAAAGTATCGAAGAGCTTAAAAATCTAAAATTTCACCATAAATATAGAGGCTTAGGTCTTATCTTGAATGTTAGCTCCGAAGTTGTTGAGCTTTAGCTTCGTTAGTAAACATGCACACACTGAGTGAAAGGACTCAGTGAGATAGGAGTAGCACTATCAAATAAATATAAAGTTGAAAATGGAACTCCACAAGGCAGTATCATAAGTCCTTTACTATTTTCAATCATGGTTAATGACGTTTTCTCAGGAGTAGATAAGGATATGCAATCATTATTTGCAGATGAAGGAGCCTTGTGGAGAAAAGGAAGAAATGTTAGATTAGTGTATGAGAAAATACAAAATGCCATTACATCTGTTGAAAGTTGGGCTTATAATTGGGGAGTTAAATTCTCAGTAGATAAAACAAAGACGGTTGTATTTAGTAGAAAGAAGATTGAGGACATAGATTTAAAAATGTATGGGGAAAAAATAGAAAAAGGAAGTAAATTTCGGTTCCTGGGAATCATATTTGAATCAAAACTTCTATGGGATGATCATGTAAAATATATTGAGGGAAAATGTAAAAAAGTTGTGAATTTGATGAGGTGTTTAACAGGACTAGATTGGGGGGCAGATAAAATCAATCTAAAAAAGATTTATGTTGCTCTGATAAGATCAGTAATGGATTATGGAAGCATAGTGTATAAGCAGGCAGCGAAAACAACCATGAATAAATTAGAGGTAGTTAAGAATCAAGCTCTAAGGTTATGCTGTGGAGCCATGAAGACCTCTTCATCATTGGCAGTGCAGGTGGAAATGGGGGAGCTCCCGTTACAATTAAGATACAAACAAAATCTGATTAATTATTGGGTAAGCTTACAGGGACATAAGGAAGAGCACCATCCAGCAGTAAGAATTTTGAAGCCATTCTGGGAAAGTGGAAAGGCTAAAGTGGACTGTTTTGCCTGGGCAGCAAATAAATGTCCTAGAGAAATGGGAATACAAGAGAAAATATTTTGTGCTGCTGTGCCATATTCAGTTACGCCTTTTTGGTTGTTTCCAAATGTGACTTTAGATCTAGAGGTCTATAAAAAGTACAGAATAATAAAGATAAAAATTGTGTAGATTTTGTACAAGATAAAATTAAGAATGCATATAGATCCTTTCTTAATATATATAAAGATGGTTCAAAAGATTTAGAATCCGGTAAAACAGGTTTTGCTTATGTTATTCCCGAACTAAATATAATTATGAAGCAAAGAACATCTGATCACTTAGCTGTGTATATAGTGGAGATTCATTATCATCATTAATGTCTATTTTAAAATTTTCATCCAAAAGCCATCTGGAATTGGTATATGAAATTATATTTAGACTTACACAAGCTAAAGTAAAGGTTACGTTTATGTGGATACCGGCTCATAAAAATATAGAGGGGAATGATGCAGCAGACCATCTAGCTAAATTATCTTTAAAACAAGTAAGAATCATGGAAATTGCATTTAGTAATTCTGAAATAAAATCTATTATTAAAAACCAAGTTAACTCTGAATGGCAGCGACTCTGGGAGGAGGGGACTAAAGGTCGTCATCTGTTTCAGATACAGAAGAAAGTACGGAGAATGGAAATTATTACTGGAGGAAATTGAAAGGAACAAGTAGTGATGACAAGGTTACGGATTGGACACACAGGATTAAATAAAAATGTACATTTGATAGGCAAACGCCCAACAGGTAAATGTGAATGTGGCATGGACATGGAGACAGTAGAACGTGTAATAATTGGAGACAGTAGAACGTGTAATAATTCAATGTGAAAAATATAGAGTGAGTAGAGAAAAAAACAAGAAGTAAGAAAACATGGGGTGGAGACATTAAGAGTAGAAAGGGTATTGGTTAAACATGACAAAATAAATGAAGCACTTATTAAATTTCTAAAGGAAACAAAACTATATATAAGAATATAGATTAGGTAGGTAAGAAAAATACTCTGGCCCACACTCCAGCACAGTAGATGGCGATAATGCATCTCAACGTTGGATGCCACCCGCCATAAAACACAAGAAGAAGAAAGGACCCAGAGAGCAACCGAGACGAGGTTGAAAAATATCCTTGTATGAATTGAAAGTTTTTCGCTGGGTGAACATATCTTCAACTAAACATACTGACTGGACGCCTGTCGTTCCTGACGATTTAAGTCAAATCTTTGTTGGTAAGTTTCAGAAAACATAACGTTCATGCATATTGCAGAAGCGAATAAATTAGCTTCATGCTAGCATGTAGCATGCGAATGCAAACGTGCTGCTCATTTTACGTGCTTTGCCGTTCAGAGAAAAACTTGAGCAATATGTACATCACTGGAAATCAATTCACAGATTAATGAATTCCTTTTAATGTTTGGAAATAAATATAGTTTGCAGAAGATGAAGTCCAAGAAGAAGAAGAGACAGGATGATTTCCATAAGGTCAAGTTAAAGATGGGAAAGAAGAAACCCAGTGCGGATAACGCCACTAACACTAACTTTCGGACAAGGGGAATCCATCTGTCTGAACAACTGAAGAGAGACACAAGTGGCCCCACAACTCACAGACAACTGGGTATCAATGTAAGAAAACAAACTCACTTCAGAATATTTTGAATTCCACATTTTAACTTTGCATCTAAATTTTCCCTTCTCAGGAACTCCTGCCTCAGCTGCATCATTACAATGCCAATGTGAAACACAGTGCCTTGTTGGGTTTGAAAGAGTTGCTGTCTGTTAATCCCTCTCTGTTGGAGCAGCATCTTTCACGTCTGCTTTCTGAAGTGGCAGCTGTTCTCACAGACAAGGATGGGAACGTCCGTGTGGCAGCTACTCGTTTGCTCAGGTGGGCGATGCAGCACTTTCACTAAAATTAATTGCATTTAGTAAAGTGATCGTAGTATTTCCATCTCAAGCTACGTGCTGTCTGAATCTTCCTGCAGATTTGTTGCGCAGTCTGTGCCAGCAGAAAGAGTGGCTCCGTTTTTTCCCCTTCTCAGTGCTCACTTGTCTTGTGCCATGACCCACATTGAGCCGGGCATCCAGGAGGATGCCATGAATGTCTTGGATGTCTTCTTGGAACATTACCCATCTCTGCTTGCTGCTCGACCTGCAGTACTCCTTACAAACTTCCTGGAGCTGATCTCTCATAGACAGAACACAGGAGGAGCCAAAAAGTCTCTGGATGCAAAGAACCGAACCTGGGCACTGACGGTGAACCCTGAAAGGACTATGACCAGCCAGCAGTGGCGACTTTCTGTTCTCCTCAGGTATAAAGACAACTTGCTCACAAGGCTTGCGAATTTTAAAATCATGAATTAGAATGTCAGACTTGTTTTTTTTTTCTCCCCACTTGTGTTTCAGACTGGGCCAGTTTTTGCAGGCGGTAGTTGAGGAAAGACCAATGGGGGAAGGTGATCTGTCTGTACGAACTGAAGCAGTGTTTGGTTCAAGTGGAAAGGGCCTTCTAACGCCTCTACATCTCAACTGGGAAGATCTAATTGGCAAAAAAGTCGAAGTTAAAATGTATGAAAACTCTGGAGCTATACCATCGCCCCACTCCACTTTTAGACTCAGGTAACAATATGCAAATTTAGAGCTCATCATTTTTGAACAAACAACTGAAATCTCTTAAAAGTGAGCAAAAGTTTTGCATGTTTTTGCTTAACAGACCTATGGTGGACTCGGGAGCTACAATGAGTGAGGGTCTAGACTCGGCTGAGACTGTTCAGAGGTTTGCTGCTACACTTGTACCTCTGCTGCTAGAGGTTTGGGTTGAAGCCTGCACTAACGACTGTTCCTGGAACAGCACAGAGGGCTCTCACCTGCTCACTCCAGATGCCATGTCTGTTATGTTCCAAGTCTTGACTGTTCTGCAGCTGCTGAGAAAACTGCCCACCCAGCGGGAGAACCAGGACACCCTGGTAAAATGCAACACAAATAACTCA